AATAAATCAAAATCCCAAACGTTCTTTCACTGCAGCTATTCCAGAACTTGTCAGCTCTGTGCTGAAGTAGGCAGCATTTTGATATATTTCCAAAACTGATGGATAATTTGTGGCTGATATGTAGTATACAAAAAACTGTACAATTACCAAAGGTTGGGTACCAGCATGCTTTTCTCATACCTTTAATTCAAAAACAAGTTACAGATACAAAAAGCCAGGTTCAGGAAAGTTTTAAACACAGTGCCTGTGTCTGATATGAAATATCAGAATATAAAGTTTGTAATGTAGTAATTCTCAGAAGCTCTCTCGTGAGGATATTCCCAAGTTCTTTTAAGGAATGATGCTGAAGCCAGCTAGGCAGTGTGTTTTGTTTCAGTGTTAAATCATCCCTGTCCTGTACTTGTGTTCCCAACCCTTACCCTTCCTCAAATTTATATCCAATACCCTAACAATCCTATAGCTCTCTAATGTTGAAGAGGCAGCTATACTTACACCTTATCCAGTAGGCTGACAGGGTGCTTCCAGAGTGCTTGGAAATTCTAAGATCTTCCAAACATTTTTATTAGTGAGGCAGTGGAGATGTATTCAATCAAAAGAGGCAAAAATAAATAAATAGACAATCTTACAGGTAATGTGAACATTCATTACTAGCACTACTTTTTAGCTTGTGGTCCTACCCATCTGTACCTTAATATTAATTTCAAACTGATACCTGTATTTTGACCAAAAAAAAAAAAAGGAGCAACATTAATGGAGATCAGACTTGCATATGCCTTTTTCCTTTTATAAACAAAAGGAAAATTATGTTCTCTAGCCTCATTTTTTTTTTAATAGTGTTATTAATTATGGAATACATTGTGGAATATATGGAATGTTCATCCCCAACGCACTACGGTTTCTGGCATTGCTTCCAATAGTATTCGATACATTAATTTTCTTCATGTTTTCGTACTTTAATGTAGAGTGTTGTTGATCTATTTCCTAATCCATGTGAATGTGAACTTCCTAGGGCTGCTGAAAAAACTTACGCTTTTGTAATTCTCCTACACGCAACAAGAGGCAAAGGGAAAAAAAATTATTCATTTGGTAATCTGTTTCTTTCTTATTTTTTTTTTCCTCAAATCTCAGCTTGGAAACCAGAAAGTAACTGCCCCTGTGATGGAGGTAAATGCTTCACAGACACACAGACAAACAACAACAGAAGCTTCTCCACTGCCTCTTCCTCCTCCTGTGGTACCAGTTAACAGAGCCTCTTTCTCACCAGACAGTGGCACCCATCTAGTACCATATTCTTTGCCAACGCTTGATGATTTTTCACGCTTTTATAAAACCCCAGCCCTTTCACAATTTTCATATAAATGCCCATTCCTAGCTTCTGAAAATACTATCCACAAGAATGAAACAGCCTCTGTAAGCACAGATTCTGCCATGAGTGAGTGCTCCTCCCGCACGAGTGAGTCCTCCACAGTCATTCTAGATGAGCTGCAGACTTGTAGCTATGATACTACTGACTGCTCTGAAACACCTTCCCCAACCTTGAGCCAGATGTCTGCTGTGTCAGATGGCACCACCTTAACCAACACTGCCGCCACTTCCAATGTAATTATCCTTCCTTTTTTCCTGCTCCATTTTGTTTGCAGGTTGTCAAAGGGGAAAAGAATTCAAACTTGTCTGTTAACCCATTGCATAAACAAGCATTCTGTTAAGTTTCCTGTATTCACAGTCTGAAGTATGCTCTGTAACAGTTGTTTAAACAAATAATTTGCATATCAGTTTTGGTAATAGACAGGAAAATGGTATGAAGTTGTTGCACTTCCATGTTGTTGTCCAAGGTGCATCAAACATTTTGCTTGCAAGAAATGAGAGTAAATTCAATAAATATCCATTCCAAATGCAATGGAAGCAAGTGATCTGTAAATTTTGGAGAGATGCATTTAAAGTACTGTTAGCAACTTACAGGTTTGTGGAGGTGTAGCCTATTGGCTGCCACCATTTTTTTGGCTTATAGCAGCGTAGAGATTTCATTAGTATAACCTGTAAATTTGTAGTAAATGTTGGCAATGCTTAACACCTTTTTTCCCCCAGCCATGACCACTGACTGCATGAAGCTGTTTTTCTCTCCTTTAACTGACCTTTCCCTCTCTTAAGCATTGTTTCTTACAGGAGTGAACTTCAGAAATAAGTTTCTAGCATTCAAGTGTCCTGTTACTTTTCTCTTATCTAACTCAAGGAGAACAGCAGCATACAATTGTGATTTGTGTATATGTTCACTATTCTGTACCTTAGTACACTCAGATACGGGTAGAGAGAATTTATAGAATTTAGGTCAAATACAGATCAATTTTCATTTCTTTTGAGATTATTTACATGACCAAAATGAGTCAGAACAGAGTTTTCATTTAGAGTGAGCAATTTGTTGCTGAACTACAAAACTGAGAAATGTTCTGAGACCAAAGTTTTACTGTGTAACAACAGCATTTCAACTTTGTACAAATGATTGCATGCTATCATTTTCCAGTCCAAATGTAGCACTTAAAATTCTGAAAAGGAACAGTGTATAATTTTTTTTGCATTTCATATATGTTTTCTAGAATGTAGTTGAGCCCAAACATGCAGATAGAGTCAATAACCTGTAGTCAGTTCAGTGAATGCTGTTTAAAAAAATAATATCAGGCATATAAATGCTCTGATTGTTAACATATCTTTGAAACCTAAAATTTTAAGAAGAGTCAGTGATGTTAATCTGCATGCTGTCCAGTTGTTGTAATGAAAGATACCATGATCAGTATAGAGAGGTGTATGTAAATAAGGCACAATCACCATAGGATGAGTTACAGAAAGCCTGGAGCATCTGTATTTTCTTCTAACCTGCATCAAAAACAATCCCTATGTTTGTTTTACAAAGTGAACAATCCTTCCCTTTTTCCTTTTTTGAATAGTTTCCCTGTAGAGATATCTATTATTATCTTGGCCATCGCTTTCTTTTCTAGATATGACTAGACAAATGAACATGTTTCACTACTAGATTTACACAGAGAATGGATGAGTCTCCCACCAAAAGATAATGCTCCCTAAACAATCCAAAGTGCCCCATAGCAAGATTAAACTACTGTCAAGGCAGACCTCTGCATTGCAAAAGATCTTTGTTTCCATTCCTTTGTAGAGGAGGGCTAGATGGCTGTGCACTTATCTATGAAATGAGAAGATGAGAGACAAGCTGGTGGCACATGCATACAAGTAAACATGCTGCTAGTGGCTGTAATGATACTTGAATAATCTTCATTCTCAAAGAAGACATTGATTCATTGTGTTGATGAAAACCACTGAGAGAACAATAAAAGCAGCATAGGGGTGTGCCATCCACCACATAAGCTGGAGCCACACTTTCAAAAACATTTCCAATTTGAGGAGATCTGTTTATTCTTGAGGCCCTTAGTGAGAGCTCGGGAGTAAAGATTTTGTAGCTGATCCCCCAAAAAGAAACAGCATCAGTATCAAAAACAACTTGAAACTTCTCAAAATAGACCTATAATGAACTTTCCCAGCAGTGCAAGATGCTTCAGATACATAACTTCAGTAGTGACCACAATGGAAACTTTCTTTAAAGGGAACGTCATTAAGAACTAAGAAATTGTACTATTTGAGCTGCTATCCTCTCTAAAACCAAATTCAGAAATGTCATATTTGGACATTCCACATTTGCGCTTGTGACTGATGTCCATCAGCTACTTCTGTACATCGTGTTTTCATGATACTTCTACAGAAATTCATTTGGTTTCACTCAACTAGCTACCGGGGGCTGAGACGTTTGAAAAATTCAAATTACTAGTCTCCAAAACATGCATCTATACAAGAGGTCATGAACCATTTCATTTTTAAATGCAATAATAATATGTCTTTTCATATGGGATTTACTTACGCTTTGCAGCTTTAAATAGTCTCCTGTTTTACATTTACAGTGTTCAAAGAGCCTCACTTTGAATGCTTATGTTGTTTTAGATCTTCTCTTTAGTTAAATTAAACTGAGCAGGTTATAGCACTCATGATTTTGTTAAGATTTAAAACAGAGATGTACTTGAAGAGATGTGATAGAAAGCTTCCCTCTTATTTCACTCCATATGCTTTCTTGGTATCTCTGGTCTGATTCCTTCAATGCTCCCCATAGAAGTATTACAGCCCAGGTGCAGGGATTCCAAACTATATTTTTAATGAAGCTATGGCTCACTTAATTTAGCTACCTGTAATAAGACTTTTCCATTCAGCCTGCTCAGAAGTATCATTAATATCAATAGGGGTGGTGCATGTGGATCATGGGAACATTATTATTCCTCAAGTTGTGCCAGGGTAAGTTTAGGTTGGACATCAGGAAAAACTTCTTTACAGAAAGGGTTGTTAAGCACTGGAATAGGCTCCCCAGGGAGGTGGTTGAGTCACCATCCCTGGATGTGTTTAAAAACCATTTGTATGTGGTGCTCAGGGACATTATTTAGTGGAGGGTTGTTAGTTAGGGTAGGATGGTTAGGTCATGGTTGGACTTTGATGTTCTTTAAGGTCTTTTCCGACCTGAGCAATTCTATGATTCTATGATTCCGTGTTTTTTGGAGTGAGTGATCTACAGCAGGCAGCCTTTGTCACGTGATGAGAGGAATTTTTATTGCCATCTCCATTTTATACTGACGTCAGATCTTGTTTGTGCAGTTAGGTTTTATTGCCTAGACTCTGCCCCATCTGCCACCTCCCATCATCATGCTTCACAGGCTACACATACAAGGAGCAAAGGGGGGAGGTGCAAGGTGTGTACGTATACAAGGTGTATAAATGGAACGCGTTCTGCTCCACAGGTGATGTGTTTTGTATTTCAGAGAATGCAGATGCCATAATGATACCTGACAAATGGTAATTGTTGCGTGGATGACAGTCTTACATTACTTTTTGTTTGGGATGGCATTCAGTGGGCTTTGTGTGTGTCATTTAATGGGATATTGTTTTGTCTCTCTCAGGCTCAGATCACAGTGAATGGGAACTCTGGCACTGCTGCCAGCCCAGTGAGTCACTTTCAAAGGCCTTTTTCCCCTTCTTCCGCTTACTCTCCACCAGCTTCTCTCAATTCCAACCTTGTTATCATGCAGCATGGCAGGATGATGGGTAAGCCTTTATACATTACACAACATATTCCAATTTATGTGGCCAAAATTGCAAACAATGGCAAAGGGCATCACATCCATAATGCAGGTATTGTCTATTCATCTCCTTAGGAAGTAAATGCAAAAGATAATAGAATTTACTTTTACATGTAATAGTTCCTGAACTGGAGTTACTTTTAAGTTTTATTACTCGTCCTTATGTTTATGAGAGTGACCTCTTGCCACTTTCCCACTTGCTTTCCTGAGGAAAAGGGAGCACATATAGAAACAGCTCAACCTGCAGAGCCTGTTTCCTTTTGCTCTCTTTAAGAAACTAAAGACCAGTTTTGTGCATTGCTTCTCCTCACAACCTCTACAAGCTTCAGTTGAAATACTGCCAACAAAGGGGGGCCCCTGAGCTTTTAAACACCTCAAGCCATCTCAATTTATAATTTACTTTTGTAGGTCATTGTTGAGTTGTTTTTTTTCCTTAAATACTTGCATGATTAGCCTCACAGAGGAGCTTTGACAGTATAATCTAGTTTTGCCAGTACGATCGTTTTCTTGCTTCTTTTTCTGCCAGAGTTTGCAGATTCAGATAAGAGTATACATGTAAAACAATCTGATTATGATCCAGGAGTTTACTTTTTTATTGTGCATGCAGGGAAATTAGGTGGCACTTCTGGCACTGAGACTTACAACTTAGAGAACTGCTGCTATCCAGGTCTTAGTGATAGATGCAAAAAACTGCACACATGGGTTTATTCCATTTACTCAAGTGCTATGTCCTTTGATTGCTTACAGTTTGTTGAACTTAAAGTATGTTGATATTGTTTTGGATATACCAGGAATGTGTTTTCCCATGATTTTTACTCTTGTATGATGCTTAAGTTTTGTTTTCCACAGTAACAATCTGATTTCATTCTCCTTGCTCACGTAAAATCCCACTGATGGCCTTAGTTTGAGGCCATCTACAAAGAACGAGGGATCAAATACCAAATGTTTTCTAAATTTAGTATTGTGCATTTTGGGAAAAAGGCCCAAATATTTAGACATGTGCCACGTAGAGTTGCCCCTCGCCATATATGTGTAGCACTGGATTATTTGCAGGACTTCAGACTTGAGTAAACAGCTGAAGCAGTCATGCCAAATCTCAGCAGTAGCAATGGGCAAAACATTCAAATTAAAATTAGCATTTTCAGTTACCAGAGCTTCTTTCACTGATTTATATTACAATTCAACTATTTTGCTTAAGGATAATCATGTTAAATCATAATCTTCACCACCAGTGTCAGAATGTTTATTTGTATTCCTGCCATTCATTTACCCTGCAGTAGACATGTCTTGCAGGCGCTGCACCTGTGCTTGCACAGTACAAAAAACCTCACTTTGTCATAGCAGCTCTCTGATTTACTGAAACATACTGCCTGTAGGAGCAGGGCTCTTCCTACACGCAGCAACAATTGTCATGTGATCCATCCCAGCAGTGAGATGGGTGGGGTTTTTTTGGTTTTGGTTTGTTTTGTTTTTTATTAAATGAATTGCTCTCTCTGGATTTTATAGAGAGATGTAATAGTGACACATTATTTAATTTTAAAGGAAGATTTTGGGGGAGAAGAGCTAGGAATATTGCCAATGACCGTGAACCACAGCAGTCTGCAGATTCACTGAAAATGAGTGCATCATCAGGTTGCTCTGAGTGCTGAGTGCCAATTCTCTGGATGATGTAAAGTGATATTTGAATAGACCAACGTAACCTGAAGGGTGAAAATTACACACAGAAATTTGCTTTGTTTTGTTTGGTTTTTTTTTAATCTTTGTTTCTAAACACATCTTACATAGATTGTTCTGGAGATCTGTTTGAAATCTGATGCTGTGCTGACAGAATGGTAGTTTTCTATATATGTATTATTATATATTCTGCTAAATTTTGTGAAGGGGAAGTTTGAAATTCTGTCATTATTTCAAAGGATGGATAGGTAAGATGCAATTTCGTTTTACAGCAACAAGGTTTTACTCCTATTATTTCTCAGTATATTTTGCTAGGTTTGTGGGTTGTTTCTTTTTTTTTTTTTTTTTTTTTTTTTTTTTTTTTTCCCAAGCAAGTTGCAGCAAAAACAGTGACTGCAATCTAATCTACCAAAATCTGAGCTAGATAGCCATAAATAAGATTATGGTTCAGCCCCAACACATATGAAGTGTTACATATGAATATGTTTCTCAAAATTATTATCCATCTTTGCAAACCACAGTGAAATTGGGCAGTGTGTTACAATTGCCCAGAATGATTATTGTGTTGTTATACATTATCCTCTCATGTTATCTTTACAGAGTCCACAGAGACATACTCGCAACATGTTGGCAGCAGCACCACCACCAGTACAATACCAATCTGTAAATCCTTAGAGGAAGAAAAAAAAATTACAGTCATTAAAGCTCCACATTATGCAGGGATTGGCCCAGTGGATGAATCTGGAATCCCTACAGCAATTAGAACGGTAGGAAATTCTGGGGAATCTGCGTATGAACTCATACAATGAATTGATTGTTGGTAATGGGTTTTTCACATTCTTCTACTCTTATATAATGTGGAATACTGTGTGCGCAATCAGGCAGCTCATGAATATAATATTGTGCGTTGACAGAGAAAGAGAATGCTGATGGGAACGTAATTGGGCAACTTGATGTTTCTGGTTTAATTAGAACTAATCAAAATTTTGTCTCTCTTCTCTTGTATTCCCTTCTGGAGATGTGAAATAATTGTGTTTGCTTTGTTATTAGTAAAATAAAGTATATACGTACTGTATTTATGCATGTGTACAAGTATACATGTGTATCTATGTATGTACAACATATAAATCTCACACTCCTGCATTCTGAGGAGCAGTGGTTTTTACTTGATCAGTATAATGTAGTTTCATTCGGTCAGTAATCTAAGAAAGTTGTATTTTTGCACACATGTAAAACATTATCTCTATGCCCCTGGATGACATGTAGGCGAATAGAGTAGAAACCCCTTCATTGAGCTCAGTTCCTATCATCTGCCACTAGTCCCTGGCTAGAGTGGCCCAGGATGTCAGACTGAGAAGGTTTGTTTTCTCTCTGCTGAAGCATTCTTTCCATTCTGCTCTCAGGGCAGCCTCTTCTGGCTGGTCCAGAGAGCACAGTGGCAGCTGTGCTGGGTCTGTAGAGGAAGTGCTTACTGGCCTTCCCTGCTGGAAGCAGTGCTGTGCTAGACGGAGAGAAAGAAGAGTGGGAGCCAGGATGAAGGCAGCAGAGCCCTTGCAGGTGAAGTCTTTGTGAGGTGCAAGGATGTAGCAGTCATTGGATATATCCTCTCTGCCAGTGCTGACTTATGGGGCTGTGTTGTAATCGCCAGGAATTGCTTCAGTGGATTGAAAAATTAGGGGGAAGAGCAAGAACTGATGGAAAAAAGCAATAGGAGAAATTCAGAATGAGTGGTAAGATGGGGACAATTTTGTTAAGAATGGGGGGAAACTGGCATTTCTTTATTTTTGACATAGAAAGGAATACAATCAAGGTTTAAAAAATGAATCAATTTCTTTGCATTAATGCTCTAGGTTCCTACCCCTTCTTTAACTAACAATGTCCCTATGTTGTGCATGGGAGAAAGTTATTATTTTTGTCCTCTTTTTTAAATAGCAGATCAGTCTAATAGCGTGAATATTAGTTATATAAGGGTATAACAGAAATCCCCCTCAAGTATGCTTAACAGAGTTGGCAATCTGCCATCCTATATTTAACTTTCAGATTGGTCTGCTTCTCTGAGATACTCTCCTGAAAAAATAATATGATTTGAATTATGGCATTTCTCAGCTGGATTTGCTCTTCATTTTTGATTGTTTCAATTTAAAAATGTCTTGCGTCTTTTTAAGCTTTGAATTGTAGAGCCGATTCTGATGATGAGACGTGAGTTAAAAGATTATGCCAGCTTGTGTGAGTGTGTCTGCCTCGTATGCCACTTTGTCTCCTTACTTTGCTTCTTTAAGATCTAGCTGGAAGTGAGGCAGTTTTCAGTTTTCAGCATATTGATTTGAGATTACATTTTAAATGTATACAGATATATTTGAACCCAGTGTACTCCAGTCATGTGAGAACAAAGGCAATAGAGTTGTCAGCAAAAGACTCAAATATGCTGCACTTTGACATCTCACAGAAGTGCAGCACTGTGCAGAAATATGCAAAAGTGCTCTAACTGCACTTCCCAGGAGCAGAAGTTAGTGTGTAGCACCTGTTTTCTCTCCAATGTCAGTAGTCAATCCAAATAGGAATCTTCTCTCAGAAGGTTCAGACTTACACCATCAGAAGGAAAAAAAGGTTTCAAATTCATTGAGCTTATGGTTGCACCCAGTGTTTAAAAGTTTCTCATTTTTCCATCTGTATGAAAACAGCCATATTCTATTTAAAAAGCAGTAAATGGAGATTCAGAGGTGATAGATAACATATGTATTGTATTCCCAAATACTGTGCTACTGTTAGAAGCAAAAAGGAAGCTTGTAAATAAGAATCTTGAAGTGTCTGTATTCCAGATTTCATTGTGCTGGTTTCCTGCAAGTCTGTATTTCCTCTTGGAAGATGGTTAGTGACAGCTGCTTAGCCAAGGAAAGCAGAGATGTTCTCTTCACTTTATATTCCTGCAAACCTTTGGTCCAAAGGTTCTGAAAAGGGAAGGGTTGGTGTACAGCTCTCCTATCCCATGGTAGGATGTTACCTCTGCACTACTGTAGCTCCTGTCAGCTCCAGCAAGTGCAAAAAACCTGAAGCCTGAAAACTCAGCTTGTTGAGTTCTACCTCTGTGCCAAGCCCTGCCCCAAAGGTGATGACATTCCAAGGCATTAAAAATGAAGTCTTTGGAAAAGAGGGCAAAAAAGTTTTCAGTCAAATGGCAGCACTAGACTTTACCACTGACAGGATCTAGGAAAGGGGAAGAAAAGGGGGGAAAAAGTCTTGGAAAGCAATATGACTGCACTGTTAGAGACTATCCAAAAATAATTGCTTCATTTCTTCCAAAATTAATCCGTATGCTGAGAAGACCTCTATTGAATAGAATGAAAAAAATGAAGTCCAATCATATATTTTGTCTGTACTTACTGATGTAGCATGTCAGCTAGGAAAAAGAAGTGCCCCACTCAGAAGGTCCACTGAAAGTCATAAGTGCCTCCTTTAATCATATACTTCCTGATTGATTATTTGAATACTGAAGTGATTATGGAGTGTTCTGGGTACCAATTGCAGACACCTCTTAGGTCCTCCTCATTTCACAATCAGCTATTTGGCTGATTGTTCACTCACATGTGGTGATAACATGTTCCCAACATTTAATTGCAACAACTGTATGCATCTGAGTCACTCGGTGGCTATGAATACTGCTAATTCCTCAAACAAGGGTTGGCATGGGCAATTAGAGAATATAAAGTGAGACTGTGTAATTTAAAACTAATTTATTCAATTCCTCAACTAGTCCTATCTGGCATAAGCATAAACAACATAAAGCCAAATCATTGGCTGATGCTGTGAACCTCAGAGTCTGGGATGGGGTGGGGATGATGGGATTGAAAAGATCAAACATACAAAAAGGTATTGGAAGAGCTGCTTCTGTGCTTACATGTCAGCTTCTCCATACCTACTCTCTGTGTGGAACCTCCTGTAAATGTGTGGAGCACCTGACAGATTAGGAAGGCCTGGCAAAGAGATATCAGTTCATCTTTGTCTCTTGACAAACAGCAGGGTCACAATAGTAGTGCTTTTGCATTGTTTCCTATCTATTCCCCTGCCACTGATTCAAGCTCTTTTGAAAACCCTTCTTGGCCCAATACACAGAAGCAGTTGTGGCAGCATGGATCACTGCAGAATTGTACTGATGAGGAGTATCATCTAGTAGCAATTTCATGAGAACTGATGTTCATTCTTCAAACAAGTGATTGTTTTCTGCATAGTTCACCAAAGTTAACTGTTTAATTATGTACAGTAACTTCATAAAGCATTTAAGGCAAAAGTGTGATTCATTACATTCATTAAACATTTTGCTTTTCTGATCGCTATGGAGCATGTAAAGATTCATGATCAAAGAGAATAATACTAAAAAAATGTTTGCCTTTTTTGTTGCTTCCTTTTCTGAAATGGTGTCTCAAAGCAAGTTAAGACAAAAATAGGAAATACAAAAGAGTAAGGGATAAAATAAGTAGAAACAAGCAAAAGGTAGCATCAGGAGAGACTAGAAAATATGAGACTGTAGTTTTCTGTAAAAAATACAAGTGCAATTTAATGAGTGATATTAAAAGGTACACTGTGTTCACTTCTTTATCACTTCTTGAAATAGAAGAATAAGTTGCCTGGAAAGGGAAATTAAAAACTGCATAAATGCTGTTTGTTTACCAAACATAATTTTTGCCTTAATTCTTTTCTCAGTTGTATTCCAAAGTAGATCTGCACTATTTAATAAATATGTTTTGAAGATAATGTATGTCGAAAATAGCTAGGAGTTCAAAAGAAGCCCTTCTTACAAACTGGTAATTGGCAAGTTGTTTGTATTTCCTGTGTAGTACCCAGCATTCATCTTTGTCGAATATAGGGCTCTAAGAAGATAACTCTTGATCTGGCATCACTTCCAGTGTTCCTAAGCATTGTATTCTACAAGATTGAAGTCCCAAACTGAGTCAATCTTAAATGCCTTCCAGAATTTGTGACAGGCATTCCTAGATGAGATGGAAAAATGCACCACTTGAAGTAGATGAAAATGATTATACTGAATAGGGGACAAAGAAGGATAAATCTAAATCTATGTCCAGAACAACATTAAATGTCTTATCTGTCCACATAGATATTTTTATTTCTTTATTATTTTTAATTCCTTGTTAATTGTTTAAAACTATATTTTATTTAGACAGTTGACAGGCCAAAGGATTGGTACAAGACAATGTTCAAGCAAATCCATATGGTACATAAGCCTGGTAAGTATGCTGTTGTCTTAGCTGTGTACTTGTCAGTGGTATTAAAAAGCACTCTTTTCTGCATTTTGATTAGCTGCCATATGAAAATGCAAATGTTCACCAAGTGTGAGACAATGAATCAAATTAAAAGGCTGAACTGGATGGTAGATTCTGATGCGGAGAGACAGCTAGAGGCTGTCTACTTATATTGGGTTTATTTTGTTTTACTAAAAATAAAAAAAAATATCTTAAAGTGAGCAAAGTAAGCATGGAACCAATGTGATTCTGTGTCATTATGGAACTCAGTGAAGCAATCCTCATCTCTGGTGTGAGGGATGAGAAATTGGCCACTGGAAGTCCCTTGACATACCACCTTATTTTTGGACAGTTTGCATGTTAGAACAATGCAGGCTGTTTTGAGGATACATTTTCTGTTTGAATTGCATTTTTTCCATATAATGTGTTATTTGTTTTGCTGAAACAGAGCTTTGGTGATATTTATAGCTTTAGAGTTAACTTCTTTTATCATGATTGTCACCAAGGAACAGCATAAACTACAGTCATGCTCATTTTCCCTCATGAAGGAAAGAGACCTTATTCTGCTGAGGTAGGACTCATATTTAGCATGGTCAAACAGATTGTTAGTGGGAAAATAAGAAATGTAAGCAAGACAATTATGGCTTTTTAGATCTGTCCTGAACACTAGTCACGTGGTAAATATTTGAGTTTGATTTTCAAGGTAGGAGGATTTAGTAGTATCTAATAAGAGGAGAGCAAAGCTCTCGGTAGAGGTAGAGATGGGAGAAGAGCGGATAAAGAGCTGTAACTTAACGTTTCGTGCTAGCCAGTAGTATGTAATACAGGTGTCATGACAAGAAGGTACATTTTGCTAATAAAATGGCAAAAATATTTTATGGTAAGTGTAATGGGAAAAAAAAGAATTCAGAAAACACTCACGAGAGATGAGGAAAAGTAGTACAGCGCTTGATTGCCTGTTTGTATTTCCAAAAAGAAAGCTGTGCTGCTGTGATAAACGAGCACATACTGCATTACTGTAACATGTATATTTCTTTTTGTAGATGACGACACAGACATGTATAATACTGCATATTCATACAGTACTGGTAGGAGTTATTTCCTCACTTCCAAACAGCTCTTTTGTTAATGTCAGCAAGTAACAGGAGTAATTAACTATTTGTGCTTGCTTTTTTAATAAACACTTTTTGTCATCTTTTTATTGTCATGCTTGATCTCAGTTGGTGTTTTTTTCAGGCCTTTTTTCCCAAATGAAACTAAGTTTAATTTTGTTTTCATTCTTGCTGATGTATTACAGCTGTGGGCCTCTATTACTGCAGATGGGATACATTGTAATACTGTAGTTTTTGAATACACTGCATTTATTTTCACTTGTGAATGTAAGCAACACAGCCTTTCCTAATCAAAATGAGGAGAGACCTACTGTGTGAAAGTACAGATACTAATTACATATATAGGAAGACAAAAAGTCTTAAAATATACACTGAGTGCCTAATAAAGATGCTTCTCTTTTCATTCATTCTTACTATAGGCACTGGTGCTGGTGCTGTTTAACCACAAGAAAGACATATGTAATAGATATATAATTCCTATGTCTTTCAGAAGATGATAGCTATGTGGTAAAATTACTTAATAGAACCAAAATTGAAAGTGTGAATACACTATCTGCAGAAAACCAAAGTGCCTTGTCAAAAAATGCTATTCATAGTTCTTCCATTTCTGTGTTTATTTTGCATTCTGTGCGCTCTCACACAGTCTTTTTGTGTAATATGGAGAGTATTTGTGTGTGCAAGTTGTTCATGATCATGTACACTTATGATCCTATGCAAGATACTTGACTGTACGGTTGTTCCAAACTAACAGTAATTACTCAGACTACGTAATGATTGTGCCTTTCCTACCTGTCCTCCTCAATCTGGACGTGCAAAGACAGAGACTGAGGATGAGCCCTGGGGTTAATAACAGGTTGTCATTAACAGCCCTAATAGATACATACAGCCATTAACTTCTCCCTCCCCCTCAAAAACAAATAATCATTAATTTCTTTCACCTTTACTGTAGTTCTCCTGTGTGATTGTAGTTTTATACAAATATTTGAAAAGCATTACCATGGATTACTTAATTCCTAGCTATATAATTTTAAAAATAAAAAATACATATATATATTACAAAAATGTTTGCACATTTTCACAACCTTGCAGCTTTATGAACTGTGGATTCTTGTAGCGTTCCGTGCTTTATTTTATTCCAATTCTTTCTCACAATGGGACTATTTCTGTTTTTGCTTTATATTAGGTGGCTACAGTCCATCCTTCTCTGCTCAGGCACACCCAGCTGCAAAGACACAGACATACAGACCATTGTCTAAAAGTGCTTCTGACAGCAGCTCCGATGCCTTTAAGGTCTCATCTCCTTTACCACCCCCACATGTGCCACCCCCAGTCCCTCCACATCGTCTGCGGGAAAGGTCTATACCAGAAAAGTAAGTTGCTGTGTTTTCAAAAACTCTTGTTGGTATGTATGCACATTAATCCAATTTCCAGATAGCGGTGAAGGAAAAAAACAGCAGATACAGAACACGACATGACAGTAAGGGCTAAAAATTAAGGCTGTGGGTTATAGCTTTTTGTAAAATTGGCAGGTAGTGGCAATTCAAAAGGTAACCCAACAGATGAAAATCATATTGCTGAGTGATTTTCTTGATTTTGACGACTCCTGTTGTTGAAGACAGGTTTCCAAGAGCAGAGGATAGGACCTAGTGATGGACTGCCTCCCAAAGGCCAAGGGGTTTGAATCTTGCTAGCAAGGCATACAGAAGCACAGGTTTTTGTTAGCAAAACTCTAAAATGTACATCTGCTTAGCCTTGATCTCTGAGGTTCTGTGAGTCATCATCCTGTGCTAGGCCAAATGCCTTGGTCACAGAAGCTGAGGCCTGTTACAATTCCTTTTGTCAAGCTTGAAAATAACTGCTTCAGCACTTAATTTGGATGTTCAGCTCCTTTTTAAATCTCCTACATGATAAGACAGGCATTGGAAATCTAAGGTCTCGAGGCCAAGGGATGCCAAACACGTTAGTTATGCTTTGCCTGCTGCTGACAGCTATAGCTCATCAATCTTTTCGTGCCACTGGGACTTTCTTTAATTGCCTATAAAGTATGATATTAAAATCTCACATAAGAGGCTTAGGTCTAAATGTATCACGGTTTTATAGCTGGGAGCCAGGATATGTTTCCCAGTAAGAGCTGGGCTCAAAAATATAGCCTATAAGGGATTAAAGGCTAGACATTGTAAATGAAAGTGAATTGAGTGTGAACCAGAATTTCAGTGGCGTCCTTTTTTCTTCGAAGTGACTTGAAATATAATGCAACTTGATTTCCATTTTCCTGTTCTGAAAAAGACAACATTTTCTGTTCTGGAACTGTAGTTTTTCCCCAGTGAACATGCATGGTAAAGAGCCATATGGAACTACTACCCTTGGAAGGTAGGGAATTTATAAACAGATGATCTGTTTTCCAGAAATTGCACTGTAAACAAAAGCAACCCCACGCACTTTTTTAAGGCATGTGATGTGCCTTATTAGATCAGGCCACATCAAGCTAAGTCACAGCAGAAAGCTTGACAGAATTTAATCAGAGCATATGATTTCTTACTGTAAATGCAGGCATACATATGGGATTTCTTTTTTCCTTCCTCCGTTCTGAGAGTTACAAATGGATCATTTGCCCCAGAGCAAAAATTATTCCAAATGCAATATGGGTAGTGACTACAAAAATGCCATGAGAAGTGATAGGAACTGATTGTGATAGGAACTACCTAAATATCTCTCCAAAATGTGCAGGTAGCTATTAAAACAATGTGATAAATGACTGGAAAAAAAAACAATACAGTAGTAATAGTAAAGTTAAATTTTATTTTTTTCTTGGAAAATTCTGTTACTTTTCAATACGGACTGTCATGTTGTGCAATGATAAAAATATCTACCATTATGTACATTATGTAGCGTAGCAAATAGTGAGTTCTGCATAAGCATATAGTGTATTTGCAATTTGAGAAGGTATACTGTGGTTTTTTCTCACAGTATTTCAGAATAGTTTTCAAGTTGTTTAACCATTTAAAACAAAAGGATGAACAATCCCACAGGCTAGACATAACTATGCTTTTCCTACTGCACTACATATACCTGCTGTAAGCAAGTGAAGATGGGGCGCTAGTCCAGACATTTCAGAGCTGAAAGCTGGAAAGTGAAACCGTGCTGAAATTCACTTGGTTTTGTGTGCATCTCCCATTGTGCTGTAAAGCAGAAGGGGTTGATGGTCAATGAACTCAACTGCTCTTATTTGTTATTTAGAAATGACTGGGATCCTCCTGACAGAAAAGTAGATACTCGCAAGTTCCGCTCAGAACCAAGAAGCATTTTTGAGTATGAGCCGGGAAAGTCATCAATCCTTGAACACGAAAGGCCGGTAAGAGGCATAAATGAAACAGTGATGAACAGTGATACATAGTAAGAAATTTGGTGAAATGTCATCTTTCTATTGTTTATTAGTGATTATAACTGCTCAGATTAACATCAAAAGTCTTTTTCAAATATAATTTTACAGCAATTTCTCATTGCTGTTTCCTGATTTTCTGAAAATATGTTTGCTTTATTTGCTAAACTTAAAATCTGGTATTTCCAATAACTCAAAGGACCAGTGTGCAAATGAAATGGATGACGAGTAGAACTGTGAATTAATGGAAGCTGCTTTTTCTAATTGGCTGGCATACATACCCAGCTCTCATTTTCAGATGTAATAACAACACATATGGGGACAGACTCTTCTGCAGGGTCTGTGATAGCACAAGGGGAAATAGTTTCAAACTAAAACAGGGGAGATTTATATTGGATGTAAGGAAAAAGTTGTTTACAATAAGGATGGTGTGGAACCAGAACAGGTTGCCCAGAAAGGGGGTGGATGCCAACATCCCTGGAGACATTCAGGGTCAGGCAGGACAGGGCTCTGAGCATCCTGATCTACTTGTAGGTATTCCTGTTCATTGCAGGAGACTTGGACCAGATGACCACTAGAGGTGTCTTCAAACTCAAACAATTCTATGGTTCTGTGGTTCTATATGTTTTCTAATTAACTAATGCATAAAAATAAATTATTTGCATTTTCAAGGTGTGGCTAAGGTTATGCCTAAGCAGATTCTAGTCAAATACTGGTAAAGATAGCCCAGACAGGCTGTGGAACCTCAGTTTCTGGAGGTTTTTGAGAATCACCTGGACATTGTTCTGAGCGACATGATCTGGTTAGACCTGCTTTCAGCAGGAGGTTGGACTGGATGACCTCTGAAGGGTCTTTCCAGTCTCAATTACTCATGAGTACTGAATGTCTGTGAGGATGTAATTTGAAGTCCTTATTCCTGCTTTCTGAATAATTATTGAAGTTGTGGGATTATTTATAAGCATGTCTGATAAAGCTAAGATCGATGTATGCAAAATGACGCATTTGCCCAGCCAGTCTAATTTTCTTTTGTGCTATCTCAATACTTCATTATTTTAGGAAAATAGACATGTTATGATGGCAGTATTTTGTTTTTGGGGCTTTTACCTTGAGATTGGAACAGCTGAGGGGATCCATTGTCCAAAGATCTTAAATAATGGATACAGGGTTATTATTTGCTTGTACATGGTTGCATTGCATGCTTGTTCGTAGGATTTGTTTCTCTAATATAATTCTCTAATATAACGTAAATTATTCAAATAATTTAATTCCAGAATACATGATACTTCAACAGTGTGAAGCAGCCTGTACTAAGAACCTTTCCCTCATGTTTTTGTGGGAGTATAACTTTTTTTAGCTAGGAAATAGGTGTGTTTCTGTGAAATTCAGCTCTTGCAGAACCAGTGCATTTTTTTGTAGAAGATGTTGGCGTTTCTATGTGGGCTGCTAATTAATCAAACTAATTACATGGGATTTAGAATTTATTGTTAAGTTGCACTCAAGCAGCACTGTACACTGAGGCCACCTGCCAACTTTGCCAATGCCAAAGAATTTTAGCAAGCTAAAGTTTAAAATAAGAATATTTTAGAATGATTCAAGAATGGTTGTACTTTTATAGTAAACTATATTTTCTGCCAATGTAGCATGAAAAAAAAAAGTTCATGTAAGAAATGCAGTGCTGATCAATGCAATCATAGATACAATTTTTCAGTTTTGAGGAAGTAATGAAATGACACAAAAGCAAGCTTTGCTGACTGTTTCTGGTGCTTTTTTTTTTAATTTTTTTATTTTTTACACTTGTGCATTTTTGGTGTCTCAATCAAGAGGTTGGATTTTGAGCTTTAAAGTATTTAAAGCTTGTAATATTTTCATGCAGAAAAGCCTTGCTTATTTGCTTCAGCCGAGGAAAAAATCAGACTTTGCCATCTGAAGCTTAGTAGCTATTGTGAATTTGAGGAAATGTCTCCTTGTAGAATAAAGCTAAAAAATTGAGGGAATAATATTCATGGACAGAACTGAGAGATTCTTTGTTTATGTGTGATTCAGAATTGTGAAAGCCTGGAAAATGGGAGTTACTGCAGAATACAAGACATGAAAATAATGCTGACAGTAGTGTAGCTATTAACTGATTTTAAAAAAACACTTGAAGTAGAGCAAGCTATCACTGCTCTGGAAGTGATTTCATTGAAGCATTTGTTTTTCTCGTGTTCCTTAAATCAGATATGGGAAATACAACTCCTGACTCATGAAAAGATGATCAGCAGAGTAGGCCAAAGGATTTTTCTGTGCTAGGAAAAGCTGACATGTGAGATTATTGTATTAGTTCCAGATTCAGGTGAACATTCCAAATCCTCATCTGTGTTAGTACTGCATGAGTTAGGTCTTTCATTTTCATCATCTCTAAGTAATTTGATTCTTAATGTCTATGAAATTATTCCTATTTTATTAAAATATTACACAAAATAGGGAAGATAAAGATAGATACAGTTGCAAAGTTGGACATTTGTAACATCGGAATTAAAAACTCTTGCCCTTTTACCAAAAAAAAAAAAACAAAAAACTTCAGATACTTCAACATTCCAATTCTTACTCTTAAAAATTTTTTGCTGAAATTAAATGTTTTCCATATCTGCATTGCATCTATGTTGTGAACTGCTCTGCAATAAATAAAGCAATATGTATAACTATCTTTCATATAGGGCAGATTAAGGTGAAAGATTAGGTTTCCCATTACTGATGCAGATATTACAGCTGTGATTAATTTAGAATGGAATAATATTATAAAATGACATTCTGTATAAGACTAATATTTAATGGTAAATATAATTCTCCGATTATTCATCCAGTAGAAGAAAAGAACATGAAAAATAATAAGTCTAAAATAAATGGCCTAGTAATAAGCATTAAATGAATAGATCTGTTAGAGAGTGATGGTTATCTTTGCTATGGACATGAAAAGATGACTCCAATTTCAAGCTGTAATATCACATTGCAGCCTGCTGTCATTAAGCAGGAAATTGATGTTTTTTTTTTTATTATGTTGAACATGTTAGAGCTTAAAACATCTACAGAAACAAGGGACTTATGGTGTAGAAAATAAAAATTTCAACCCTATTAACTAAAAAAAAAAAAAGTAAAAACAACAGCTCTTTTTATTTTTAAATAATACCTTAGCCTGTTGAATGCAATGGCAGTTCCTTCTTCTCCCATAAAACATTACTATTTCTGCTAATAACACAGTACTGTACTGGTAAGGTGCTACATAAGTTCTCATGTATGTTTCTATCTCTAACATCTGTGATTCAATAAAATGCTTCTTGTTTTCATTAGTAGTATCCAAGCCATGGATTTGTTTCCTAAAATGTGTATTTTCTTCCAGTAAATGAGTTAGTTGTAGCGTAATAATTTAATCTTACTCATATGAATGTGAAGTTAAATATTTATTCTTTAGTAGTTTCAGTCTTGTATTTGTCAAATAACACCTTCACACAACTATTTGTACATTTCTCTTTTTCTTCAACGAAATGAAGCAGAAAGAAGGGCTATAAAGGCTGTAAAATTGGCAATAAATGCATTTACTTTCATCAGTGTCTGCTCAAAGCATAGAGATATATTTGTGCTATTCAGTTAAAACTGTGGAGTTCCATTTCAATTCTAGGGTTTTTTTTGTTTGTTTGTTTTGTTCTGTTTTTTAATATGTCTGTTCAGTACAAAGAATTTTCTATTGAATTCTAGGTTAGAGTATCGAAGCATGACTTGGTTTGACTGACAAGTCATAAAAAAAAGAATTCTTACTGCTTTTGCCCTCAGTTCCAGCAGATTGAGAATTACTTTCTAAGCCCTAGCCAAAATCAGTGTAAGTTCAAATGATTTGTTCATTTCAACTCTGTCAGGGGGATAGATAATAGAAAGCAGTCCTTCAGCAAAACTGACTTGAAGCCAATTGAAATCAATTGCCTGAGAGTATTGATCGTGGTAGCACAGGGAGTGCAGCGTCCTTCTGCAGCCAGCAAGCAGTAGTGGAGTTATGAACTCTAAAGCTCTTCTCTTTTGTTTGCTGCCCTCTGCGGTTCAGTCTGTAAATAAAGTTAGGAGCTGTGTGTATGGAGTTAACTCCACACATTCCCTTATGCTATCTCTGCATTGGCACACTGCTACAGAGTGAGAACTTGAAAACTCAGAAACTGCATTAAAATACTCTATTTTCTTACAAGCAGAATTTTTCCGCTTAAGCTTTCAACTAATAGCAAGAGTAGTTGAAGATAAAAGGGGAGCCAGTCACTCTCTCCATTTTAAAGCGTTTAATGGTCAATTTCTAGTGTGGTCGTAAAGCTGAGCCGGGCTGCCCCTGCATTTAATGTCAGTAACCCAAGATTTGTAGTGCTCTGTGGTAACCACGCCACCTTCATCTCATGGGAGTTGTATCTGAGTAAGTCAAATCTGATCCCAATGAAGTGAACACACATCTGTGGCTAGAGCACATTAGAGCACTCTTTCTGTGAAGAAATCCTTCCTGATATCTCCTCTAGACCTCCCTGTCTCAACTCTATGCTGCTTCCAAGTGTCCTATTCCTTGTCACCTGGGAAAAGAGATCAGCACCATCCTCACTACAGCCTCCTTTCAGGTGGCTGCAGAACGATGAGGCCTCACCTCAGCCACCTGTCCTCCAGGCTAAACTCCCTCAATTCCTTCATCTCTCAGATCTTCTGTAGTTCTGAATCTATTGTGTTTGCATTCATGTCTTCGTCTTTGTAGAAGAGATTCATGTGTTTTGGAAATCAGTTATAGTTGCTAATAAGATGGTAAGTCTTAACTATTCATGAAACTTATTTCAGTGGTGTTTTACTACTAAAGACTAGTGCGTGTATAGTTGAGTTGAAACAGCTGTCAATAGTAGTGCTCAATAATGGTTGTGTGTGGTGGAAGTGCAAGGGCAAAACTCCGGAGCAGCTTTGCTCCTTGGAGCGTGGACGAG